TTGGCCTGAGCATAAACAAAATTCCATTTCTTTCCCTTTTTTTTTTTTTTTTTTTTTGAGTGATTTTCTTACTGTTAATATCCCAGGGCCTAAAGTGGTATCTGGCATATGGCAGGGATTCAGACTGTTAAGTAAATGATGAGTAAATTCCTTCAAGGCGAATCTAAGGTAAAGGTTCTGACTTTGCTGCCTTTTCACTAAGTATTCATTTCCCTCTTCTCTCCAAGCAATAGGCAAACTATTAGTAATAACCTCACTCTTCAGGAGTTGTATCATTCCCTGCTTATTCTTTTACAAAGCCCAGCAGAGTTAACAGCATTGGAATAATACAGTAAGCATCATCTAAACCAGAATGAGATTTGTACATAAACAGGAGGCTCTTTAGTTACATGGTCTTTCAGCTTGCATAATCAATGAATTTGAAAATATCTGTGAAATATTATGAGGTAAAGATTTCTGCCTAGCATTTTGTTCACCAAGCTGAACAGAATAACTGCCTTTCATTTTCATTTTTAAAATTGAAGTATAGTTGATGTACAATATTATGTAAGTCAGAGGTGTACAATATAGTGATTCACAATTTTTGAAGATTATATTCCATTTATAGTTATTATAAACTGTTGGCTATATTCCCTGTGTTTGCACAATATATCCTTATTTTATACCTAATAGTTTGTACCTCTTAATCCCCTGCCCCTATATTGCCCCTCCTCCCTTCCCTCTCCACTGGTAACCACTAGTTCGTTCTCTGTATCTTTGAGTCTGTTTCTTTTTATTTATGTTCACTAGTTGGTTATATTTTTTAGATTCCACCTATAAGTGATATCATACTGTATCTGTCTTTCCCTGTCTGACTTATTTCACTTAGTATAATACCCTCCCAAGTCCATCCACGTTTTTTCAAATGGCAAAATTCCATTCTTTTTTAAGGCTGAGTAGTATACCATTGTGTGTGTTTTGTGTGTGTGTGTGTGTGTGTGTGTGTGTGTGTGTGTACACACACACACCACATCTTCTTTATCCATTCATTTGTTGATGGATACTTCATATCTTGGCAATCATAAATAATGCTTCTGTGAACACTGGGGTGCACATATCTTTTCAAGTTAGTGTTTTTGTTTCAGATATATACTCTGGTGTGGAATTGCTGGGTCATATGGTAGTTCTATTTTTAGTTTTTTGAGAAGCTTCCGTACTGTTTTCCACAGTGGCTGCACCAATTTACATTCCCACCAACAATGTACAAGGTTCCCTTTTCTCCACATCCTCACCAACATTTGTTATTTGAATTCTTTTTGGTGATAGCCGTTCTGTCAGGTGTGAGGTGATATCTCATTGTTGTTTTGGTTTGGGTTACCCTGATGATTAGCGATGTTGAACATCTTCTTATGTGCCTGTTGGCCATTTGCTTTTCCGCTTTGGAAAAATGTCTCTTCAGGTTTTTTGCCCATTTTTTAATCAGGTTGCTTGGTTTTTGTGTTTCTGATGTTGAGTTACATGTAGCTGTTTATATATGTTGGATATTAATCCCTTACTGGCCACATCATTTGCAAAAGTTTTCTCCCATTCTGTAGGTTGTCTTTTTGTTTTGTCAGTGGTCATTTTCATATTAAATGGCAGCCTGTATTCAGATTAGATGTCAGTCTTTGAGTGCAGAGTAGAATGTCTTCCACACCGTACTGTTATGGTGCTAAATCCTTGCTGACACTTAAACGGTAGTTGTGATCCTCCTAGGGCTTAAATATTGTACGAGAGTAAAAGTAATGTAAAAATACCATTTAAATGCTATAGTCTTAATACATTCATTTTTCATTTTATCTTTTTTCTTTATATTCAAGTTTTATGAGCAGTATGATGATGATGAAATTGGAGCTCTGGATAATGCTGAATTGGAAGGTTCCATTCAAGTAGACAGCAATCGCTTAGAGGAAGTTTTGAATGACTACTATAAAGAGAAGGCAGAGAAGTATGTTGACTTTTCCATGACTACTTCCTTTTTTTCATTTCAAATAAAGTCTGTAATCGCACAGCTGAATCTAGAAAATCACCCAGTCAAGATCCATGTTTAGAAAATGTATGTTTTCCTTAACCTTTGGCTCACATTTTGCTATTAAGAGTTTTGAAGCTGAATATAACAGTGGGTGGAAACATACTGAGAACCACTTTCTCTATAGCTTTGACCTGAGAGTCATGATGGAATAACTGAGGGTTAGAGTACAAAGTCATGTTCCACCTGGAGAAGGAGATGGTGCTTCTAGCCTCTTTGGCTGAAGAACTATTCTGACTTCTAAGTATATACACTCTTCATCTTCCTGAAAAAGGTGTTCTGAGAAGTAGATCAGAGTTTGTCTCTGCAGCCTGATTAGCATAACGTTCTATCCAAATATTTGGTAAATCGTCATCCACATCAAGGTGATTTCTCTGAGAGAAACTAATGAAGTGTTTACATCTGCTAGAAAGGTCTGATGTTCCCTGATCACTATCATATGTAGATCCCAGAGCAGGACAAGGGCTATATTCTTTGAGTGAGTTATTTGAATACTTTGAAGAGGCAGATGGGATGATGCTTTTCAAGGCTTTAAAAAAGATCATGTTATATATAGGAAAGATGCCATCTTGTTTAATGTGTTAAAACCTTGCAAAGACACAGATAGAATTTTCCTTCCTATCAGCAGAATGTATGTCCAAAACCTGCTGTAGAGGAGAGGCAAGCCTGAGTAGAGCTGATTTTGACTGGAAGTGACAGATGGGGAAAATGAGTTTGTGGATTTTAAAAAATGTTGTAGTTCCCTAAGCTCTTTAAGTGCAGTTTCAGTAACGTAACAGTGTAATAATGGGTGGTATTTTTTTCCCCTCCTCTATCTTCATTTTTGAAAACTCAACCAAAAGTTGTGTAAAACTGAATACTCTTGAACCCTTCGAGGATCAGGACCTGCCAGTGAATGAGCTCAGTGGGTCTGAGGAGGAAGAGATTGTTACTGTAGTTCTTGAAGAAGCCAAAGAGAAGTGGGATTGTGAATCTATTTGTAGTAAGTATCTTAGTGTCCATTTTACTGCTAAAAGTATGATAGTAATTTTAAAGTATTGGGTACATCAACTTCTTTGGAAAAGTACATATTTGTGAAAATGATTTTGAAAAATAATATTTCAGTAATTGAGTTGTAATTGAAACATTTAAAAACATAAGAGAGACTCCATTGTTATTTTGAACTATGAAAACAGTAAAGTCAGGAATATAGGAGGAACTCAGTAATGTTTGGCTGAACTGGAAGTATACTTATTGATACATGATTTTTGTGTGTGTGTGTGTTTTTTTAAGGTACATACTCAAATTTATATAACCATCCACAACTTATCAAGTATCAACCAAAGGTAAGTAAGTCCTAGTGTCCTGAGCTATTCGAAATACGCAGTGCAGGAAATGGAGTGTACAAATTATTTTCTCACAGTAACCCCTTTGTGGCTTGCAACACCATTTTAAAAAGCAACAAAAATGTGCCATTAGTGAGCTGTTTTTTAATAGGAGTGGAAAAAAACACAATGCCATTTGATCTTTCTTTCAGCCCAAACAAATCCGACTGTCTTCTAAAACAGGAATACCTCTCAATATCTTACCTAAGAAAGGACTCACAGCAAAGCAAGTTGAACAAATGCAGATGATTAATGACAGTGATCTGCCTAAGGTGTCAACCCAACCGCGTTCTAAAAATGAAAGCAAAGAAGATAGAAGAGCAAGGAAGCAAGCTATAAAAGAAGAGCGCAAGGTAAAGTAATTTTTTCAGATGTGAGATTTAGAAAGAGGAGGGGTGGGGGTGGTCACGTGAATTTTCTTCTGTAAAGTCAGTCTGCATCAGTGTGAAGATCTGAATAACAGCATATTCTTGCACAGGAACGGAGAGTGGAGAAGAAAGCTAACAAATTAGCCTTCAAACTGGAGAAAAGAAGGCAGGAAAGAGAGCTGCTGAACTTGAAGAAGAATGTTGAAGGTCTAAAACTGTGACAGTGGAACATTTCAGATAAGGTGCATTCCCCATTACGGGCTCTTTGTTATGTACAATAATGAACGAGGATCTTCAAAGAGATAAAACTGTTCGCTCTGCAATTTTTACTGGCAGGTATTCAAAAGAAAACAGTACAATATTTGTGTTTATACCAGTAAGTTTTCTCTGCCAGCTGTCTTGTAAATATTGTAATATTTTTAAATTTAATATTATAGGCTTAAATTTGCTTAAATAAATGACTTCATGAACATGAAATGTTTGGATAAATTAAAGGAAAATGTCTTCATAACTTAAATGGAATTGATTTGTTCTTCATTTATTTGTGTGGTTGTTCCAGTTGCCTTTTGCAGATGTTCTCAAATATTTCTTTGAAATCTCTCCACTCCTTTTCAGTACTTAAGTGGTTTGATTTCCTATATGTAGAAAAGTAACCCAGTTAAGAACTCATTTGAAATAGAGTGGCAAGAAGAGCTTCCCTGAGAAGGTTCCACTGGTAGGAATCTAAGTTTCCCCTTGCTGTATGCAAAGGGTTATTTCAAAAGGATGGTAAAACAATATTGAGGTTATTGGGACTCAGTTACTGGCTGACTTGTTTTTGGAATTTAGGAAGAGTGAAGACAGGAAACAGAATAGAAGAAACAATCAAGAAAACTTCCTTGGCTTCAGTGAGTACCTGGCTCAACATCAGAAATATTGACTTCAGTTTAAACTAGAAAGCTTGTCTTTTCAACGTTATTTAATGCTTGGAACCATTCATACTTGATTAAAATACATGGTTGAAAACTTTCCCTGTTTTTTGATGAGATTTTTTAACTTCTCAACTTTTTCAAGGTTCAAGCAATGACACATCACAATTGTTAATTATTTGGTAAACTGTGACTTTCTTGGAACAGACAAGTTGTTAGTGACCCATGTTCATGTGTCCATGGCTAATATGTTGTTATCTGGACTGTTCTGAAAAAAAATCTGTGGACACTGTTGGTCTGAGTTGGGTGCAGAATGGCTGAGGTAGAACCATTCTTAGCAGGTGAGCTGCATTTGATATCTAAGTTATTAGAAAGTGTCTTCATCTATAATTTGATTATGGCTTTTCCTCAGCTGGGAGGTGTTATCTTGTTCTATACGTTATAGGTTCTAAATCTAATCATTGTCGAATTTTTAAAAGAGTTGTGAAAAACAATAGCATTAGGTACTCTACCAACACTGATAGAAAAAACTTGGCTGAAGAGCTTGTCATTACAGAAGTAGAATACTGGAGAGTGTGTATTTAAATGCCAACCCGCAGAAGCAAAGGGCCAGTTGATGGTTTATGTTAGTATCAGGAATGTACTAAATCCTAAAGAGATTGACCATTTATTTTGGTAGCCATCTCATTTGAAGGTTCTTAAAACTGGCAAGAATCTAGAATGTTACTTTGACTTGGTGCTCTTCAGATTCCATCTTCGGAGCTTTTAATTTCACCACATCTGACCCAAATGGTTTAAATTAACACGTTATATATTTTGCAATTAAGAGAATGTGCCTATAAGCCACTAGTCTTGGTGAAGCATATTGTGATTTAGACTGATTATCCTCCAAATTTAAAGATCTTGATTTTATTCTGGAAAAAAGTTCTTACATGATATTTTCTATTATTTCATAACATTTTGGAATATTTACAATGTCAGTCATATAAACAGTGGTTGGGAACTTAACATAAGTTCCGTGTTAAATGTTAGGTGTCCAAAGCAATAAGGGGTTTTTGCCTTCAAGGACTGCATTGTCTGAGGATGCAGGGTGTGTGCAGCAAAATATAACTAATGCCAAGTCACTGTGATAAGTACCACTTGAAATGAGGATCTTGGTACTTGCTGTTCCCCCTGAAGTGCTCTGGCTGTAAATAAATCATCCTTAAGGATGGTGCTCAATTGTCACCTCCCCTATAAACTTTTCCCTGACCGTGTATTTAAAAATAGCACAAACATCCCTCCTCTGCATTCCTTATGCTCCTTGCCTGCTTTATATTCTACTGGCATCTGATTTTATCTTCTTATTCAGTCTCATCTCACTAGAACAAACTGAGGGCAGGGTATTTTTGTTTACTACTTTATCTCCAGGGTCTAGAACAGAGCCTGGCATTTGGTAAATGGTCACTAAGAAATATAAAAATGAATGGATAGTTGGGACGGACAATTCAGAAAAGAATTGCTTAAGCTAGAGGAGAAAAGAATTGCTTAAACTTGGAACAAAAAGACCTAGCCTCAGTGTTAGCCAGAAAGAAGACCTCAGGCATCCCAGACAGTTGGCAAAATCATGAAGAATTTGCCTGCTGTATCTTAAGGACCTATTTTGTTTAAGCACTGTCTGCGATTGGTATAAAGTCACTTTTTTCAGATACTTTAGAACTTATTTTACAAGTCAAACTAAGTATCAAAAATTCTTACTATTTGTGATTATTACCAGTGATGTCTCCACATCTCCGTTGTGATGTCATCAGATCACCTCAGGTAAAGGACAGAACTTTAGCTATCTTGTAACTTTACTGTTAGATTATCAATACTTTTATGTTGCTGCTTGTGTGCTGACATTAGTATGTTTTATCCAGCTTGTTTGTTCCAGTTAAAGGTCAGAAGAAGGTAAAACTTCTAATGGCCTTATGGAGAATGTATAATAAAACAAACATACCCGCTATTCAAGTTAAGAAATAGAACACAGAAGCCACTTATAGGTGGCTTGAATAAATACTCAATTTATTCAATCTTTTTCTTTCCTTGGGTAACTTTTATGAATTATCTGGACTTTTATATTAATCATCACCTGCATGGCATCCCTATAGACACAGTATCTTGTTTTGAGCAACTGAGAAGCACAAATCTAGATCAATGAGGGAAATAATTGCTACTGTTTGATCAAGGCATCCTTGAGAAGATGAGCTGAATAGTTTCTGAGTCTGACTTCAGCTCTTAGAGTTTACAAGAGCCCCATGTGGTGATGTCAGTGAGCCAGGTGATGAGTGAGTCCTGGGAACCCAAGTGACCATAGTTGAAGCATCCTGAATCTCCTGCCAAACTAGGCTTAGCAATTGTCTGCTCATTTTATATTTTATGCTTCTATACTTATTATGACCTCTCTTTGTCTCTGAAGAGATGAGTGCAGAACTTTCCTGTGGAGTGAAATGAGTATCCTCAGCTTATCTAGACATGTGAGTATGAAGGGTGAGAAGGCACTTTGCTGGGATTTCATCAAGCAAGCCAAGTATAGAACAGAATGAGAGCCAGATATATATAGGACATGCTATCCTCAGATTACAAAGGCAGTGAATATCTAGGTTAGGACAGCCTTCAGCATGTCTGTGTCTTTAGTCCCACTCCTCCAGTCTGAGCTGGTTGCTTCTCTAGTTCTGGTGCCCAGCTGTTATCCTGGGAATCCCCTTCTCTCCCTCCTCTATTGAATGGCTATTTGTTGTTACTCACCTTGTTGTGGAGTATATCCTTCAGTAATTCTTGAGACAGAGTACATGGGATGTAAACTTTTTGAAAGCTTGCACGTCTGGAAATGTATTCTACCCCCATATTTGATTGATAGCTTGGCTGGGTATAAAACTGTGGGTTGTAAATAATTTTCCCTCAGAAGTTTAGAGAATTTTTCCCCATTTATTTCCATTTTTACTATTTGTAAATCTGAAGCCATTCTGACTCCTTATACTTTGTATGTTACTTTTTTTCCCTCTAAGTAGGATCTCTGTCTTCAGTGTTCTGAAATTTTACAGTGATATTTATTGTTCTAGACATACTTTCATTTGTGTGGGTGTCCTCTCAAACAGGAGGCTCATGTCCTTTCACTTCTGGAAATAGTTTTAAATTATTTTTATTTTCTTCCTTGCATTTTCTCCTTTTCTCTTCTGAACTCCTATTATTTAGAGTAGGACCTCCTGGGCAAGTACTCTGATTTGCTTATGTTTCTCTCCATTTCTATGCCATTTCACTCTACTTTCTGGGAGATTTCCCTAATTCTATCTGCCAACCTATTGTTGAGTTTTTAATTTCTAAGAGCTTTAATTTTCCTTTAAATTTCTCTTTTGTTTACTTTGGGCTTACATGCTAGAGATTTTCCTCAGATCTTTGGAAATTCCTGTGTGTTTGTTCATGATTAAGATTGGAGGACGAGAACACTAGGAACTCTGGATGGGTAACATTGGTTGATTTTGAGCTTTTTTTTTGTAGGGTGGTCTGGGTGAGCTGTTTGGGAATTTTCCCAATGTCAGTATCTTTAGGTCTTTCTCCATGGAATGATTATATTCCCAGGGAAGCTTCCATTCTGCCTTGAGAGTAAGGGTCTAGCAGGCAGAATTCTGTGAGCCAGGTAGAGGAAGGTGGGTGTGGGATATTCTCTGCTTCCAGCATCACTGATCATGAGATTAATCACTAGATTATATACATATACACACATTTGTATGTGTGTGTGTGTATGTATATATGTGTATACATATACAGTTAATCCTCATTAATCATGGAACCCCTATTTGCAAATTCACCTTCTCACTAAAATTTGTAACCCTAAATCAATATTCATGGTGCTTTCATGGCCATTCGCAGATATGACACATACCTGTTAAAAAGTTGAGTCAACCAACACACATGTTCCCAGCTAAGGTACAACAAGGTGATGCTCTCTGCCTTCCTGTTTCAGCTGTCCTACTGTAAACAAGTGTCCTTTTTATGGTCTACTTCGTGCCATGCTTTTCATAATTTTGCACTTTTTCTTGGTGATTTCACTGTTTAAAAGGCTCCCAAGCATAGTGTTGAAGGGCTGTCTAATGCTTCTAAGTACAGGAAGGCTGTGATATGCCTTATGGAGAAAATATGTCTATTAGATAATCTTCATGCAAGCATGCATTATAGTGTGGCCGTGAATTCAATATTATTGAATCAACAATATATATATTTAAATAAGGTATCTTTAAACAAATTCATAAAACAAGGTTGTGTGTTGATAGGTTGATAAAAATGTTGTAACTTTGTATTTCCCCAGGGAAATAGAAATCCATTTGTATAGTGCACTATTTGAGAGTAATGAATGAGTCAGTATTTGTTCATTGAGTGCTTGCAGGGATTTATGGAATGCAACTAGCACAAATAATGAGAATCAACCATGTATACGTGTATATTACATCTACATCTGCCTACCCATGCCTTCAGCTGTGCCTCGTGTTGACTCATCGTGCACAGACCTCCTCTCATCCTTTCTGGGGAGTAGACTTCTGCTAGAATTGGAGAAGGACAGTCACCCAGGGGCTGTGGGATGAAGGGGGGCGTTCTAGGAATCTTCACTTCTTTTTAGAAAACTTTCTCCCTGGTCCTGCATATTTTAGCAATCTCTTCTTCCTCCTCTTCACGTATCCTGTCCCCGTGTCAGAGGTATGTGCTGCTCCAGGGGTTTCCGTGATTTTGAAGGGCTCTGCAGTGTAAGTCTGGATGGTTCTCAAGTTTTTTCTACCATCAGCCTGGGAAGTGGGTTTTGATGTAGTTTTATGTCCTCCAGGTTGGCTACCATGGTCGATCAGCTTTCCAGATTCCAGTTTTTTATTCTTGTCCTCTTCCCTCCCTGTCCTGGTCCTCCATGTTTCTACATCCCTTTACTGTAGTGTTTTGGGGGAAAGCAAAAATAAGATGGAGTGTTCTCTTTGCCATCCTAACTCATTAGTCTCAGTTCCTTTTTTTATAAGTCATGTTCCTGAGATAATAAGTTTCAGCTAGTATGCCACCCCCTTTGCCATAAGGCCCTGGAAGATGTCAGTATTGCTAATATTTGCATGTCCTGGACTGCAAAGGACTTAAAAAGAGTTTCTTGACTCACTGACAGCTAAATGAGAAAATGTCTTCCTTTTTCCTTCTCTGTAATGCCTTTATAAGGAAATGTGGATTGGTAGGTATCTCTACAAAGCATTCTTAACTTCCAGCTCAGAAAGAGAATGTCTAGTCTCAAGTAGAATTTCTTCCAATTTCATTACAGCCGTAATCCTCTCCAGGTTTCTTATAAAATTTTTGAACTGAGATCTTTGTAATGCTTATTTTTTCATTGTTAACATACTAAACAAAACTGTTGATCACTTCCAGATCACTTTCCTCATTTTAAAAATTGTCTTAAGATTATGAACCAATGTATAAAAACAATAGCCACTTTAATAGTCTACTGAGACTCCAGTTAGAGAGGGTAAAGTTAGAAATAGCTAAGTTAATACACATTGTTTTAGAACCTTTTCTATCAAAAGGGTTTTTTTATGTCATTATTTTTAAACAGCAATGCATAATCTTTATAGAAAAATTGAAAATTTAGGAAACTAAAGAAATAGTCACCTTTTTTCTTACCACTCAGAGGTAATTACTATATATTAAATGTGTAGTGTGTGTGTACCATATATATGTGTATATATATCTTTCCAGTCTTTATTTGTAAATACATCAATAAAAATGCATATTAAAATTTTCCATGTTATTCTCCCACAAATCATTTTTAATTACTACATTCTCATTCACTCATTGGCAACCTACTTCTGTAAAGGCCAGAAAGTATAATTTTTGGCTTTGCAGGTCATAAGGTCTCTGTTAAAACTACTCAACTCTGCTGTTGTAGCACGAAAGTGACAGTAGATATTTTATAAACAAACAAATGGGCCTGACGGTGTACCATTACAACTTTATTTACAAGATCATGCAGCCTCTGATTGGGCCCACTGGCCACAATTTGCCAACCCCTAGATATGTAAACTTTTAATTTTGACATAATTCATGAAAAGTTGCAAAATATTACAGAGATTCCTGCACTCTTTATCCAGTTTCCCCCAAGTTACATCTTCACTACAGTACAGTATAAAAACCAGAAAGTTTGCATTGGTATAAGGAGTGTTTATAGTTCTATACCACGTTATTACAGGCATAACCACCACTGCAGTAAAGATACAGAACCGTCCCGTCACCCAGAGGTCTTCCTCATTCCACCTCTGTATAGTCACAGCCACCTCCCTCCCTGACCATCCCTACCTCTTAGCAGTCACTAATCTCTTTCCCCCCTCAAACTTGTCATTTTGAGAATATTTTACAAATGGAATCATACACTATGTGACCTTGTGAGATTAACTATTTTCACTCAGCAATGAGATTGAGTCAGGTTGTGGCATGTATCAGTAGTGTTCCTTTCTGTTGCTGAGCTGTGTTCCAGGGTATGGATATAGCACAGCTTGTTTAACCATTCACCTATTTAAGGGCATCTTGGTTATTTCAAAAGATTCTTTTAAGGTTCTGTTGATCTCTGTTTGGTTGTCCATGTTCCCTTTCTTCCTCACCGTCAAGCTTCCAAGTTGAATGTGGTTCAGAATGTGGTGGTCCATCTATCTCAGGTGTTCAATTGAGTCTTATTGTATCTGTCATTATTTCAAATGCATTGAATTCAGAGCTCACTGATTTAAACCAAAGGTCATTGATCCTCCAGGGACTTCCGTTTGCTTTGCAGGTTAGTAGTGATAACAGTATCTTTGTATTTATGGTGATCGTTGAGTAAATAGTCTTAATACTTGTAGAGACAGAGACTCAAGTTTGAGTCTCAGTGTTACCACTTACTACCTGTTGTCCTCAAGAAGTCACCTAATCTTGAACCTTCATTTTCTTATCTGTTAAGAAAGAAAAAAGTATCAACCCTATCTCATAGGATTGCTGTGAGGAGTTAAATGAGATTACATAGGAAAAGTGTTTGGGGAACAGGAAATCACCCTACAAATGTTACAGTAATAGTCATAAAAGTAAATCATCCTTCATTAGTATTTTAGAAAAAAGCAGTTTTGTAATTAGGATGAGTAGCTTTTATTAATGAGTAAGTATGTGGAGGGGTGGGATATCCTTGCTGGAAAAAAAAAGAAAATTAAGACCCAGTTTTTATAGAGTTAGAAGGCCAGAAGAACAGAGAAGAGTGGTATTTCTGTATGCTGTAATGGATGACCTTTGCTGCAAATATAATACCATCTGGCAGATGTGAGAAGAGATCATTTAAATCAACAGTATCTGTAATGAGCTACCATCTGATTCCTGTTAATCAGGCCTTCCTTTTTCAAACCGTCTTCCCATGGTTTCCATGACCCTGTTCTCTCCTGCTTCTCCTTCTGGCTTATCATCATCATCTTCTTGGCCCTTAAATATAGAGTTCCCTGGGGATCATCCCTGTACTTCTCTTTCCATGACCTCTTCCCTGGCAATATCATGCCTTTACATCACTCTCCAAACAAAGCCTACATCTGTGTCTCTAGCCCTGACCTCCCTCATTTCCATCCTGCTGGCTGGATGACTCTATCTCAAACTCAGTATTTCCAAAGCTGAGGTCATTTTTCTTACAAGATGGCCCTTCTTTTCGAATTCTTTATTTCTATCCATAGTTCTACCCTCTTCTCAGTCCCTCAGCATTCTTCTGTCACCTCCCAACTCCCCCCAAATCTAGTCATCTTATTGATTCTTTGACCACAGTTTCTCCCATTTCCTCTTTCCTTTCCATTTCAGGCCTGCATCTTCAGCCTTTTAACTAATATCCCACTTTCCATCCTCACCACCATCCATTCATCCCTCCTCAGCTTTGTCACATAAATCTTCCACAGCTCCGTTCAGGTTCTTCCTACTCAGTGTCCTTGATAGCTCCCCTTGTTTGTAGAATAGAGCCCAAATGGTTAGTCTAATACAAAATCTTCTGTGTGATCAAACTGCTTTTTTAATCTTATATACTCAACTCCAGATGAACTGAAAGGCAGTAGTATGAAACAAAACTTATTTTTCAGAATTCCACAATGGTTGGCTTTTCTAACTTCATTTAAAGTAATTTATGGGCATACTTTCCTTTTCTGTGCTGGACCCATGTATGGTTTCTCTCAGTATTCCCGCAGAGTTACATACGGCAGGTGTTTAATTATTTATTGAATGAATGATTGGTCCTATGGTAGAAACTCAATTCTTGTTTGACCCATACATGTAACAAGTAATTATTGAGAACCTTACTGTGGGTCAGGTACTTTGAGGCATTGGGATATAGTAGGCACAGTTACTCAGTTTTTTTTTTTAATTTGAGTTTATTCTTTAACTTGGAAAACACTACAATAATTGAATATTTTTTAAAAAAAACAATAGCAAGTAGTGAGCATATTATGATTGTAGGCCTTCACTCATTCTCTCCTGCATTTAAAATGTCAGCAGTGAATGTTCTTCACAGGTCCCATAAAGAGATCCTGCACTAAGCACCACCCCTGGGATGATGTTCATCATCCTCATGTGCTTCTCCATTGTAACGGCTCTGTCCTTCCTGATTTGGAGCAAAGCCCACCAATCTGCTTGGTCCATTTCATCCTCTTCTACTTCCTTCCTCTCAGGTAGGAGTTTTTCCGGCAAAGAGATTTATCAGGAGAGAGAAAGCCATTCTCAGGAAAGTTTACCTTAAATTCAATGACTAGGCAACCCTTTTCATACTGTCCATGATAAAATGGCATGCCTTCATTTAGCACATACATGGCCTTACATTCTAGTAGCAGTCTTAAAAGATGTTACCATTGGATTATTTATGACTTCATACTATGGTATCAACTTTGTACTTGTGTCTAAAGCTAAGCTATCAGGCAGTTAGTTTAAGAATATATTAAATATTAAATAATTATACTCTAGTTGCCTGAAGCATATGGAATTTATCTGTTCAGTGAAGTGAGAAGTCTAGGTTAGGAGAAGAAACCGGGTGAGTTTTACAGAGGATCTTCCTAATAGAAGGAAGTAGTTGGAGAGGGGAAAAGAGAGGATATCAAGCTATTGAGGTCTCCTCCAGTTAATCATTTCTTCTCGGGCAGGCAATTCTGTGAAATTAACATAATGTGCTCTTGGATCCTATACAGATGGCAATCAGGAATTATTTCCCTGTGAAGTCTGGAAGACGCTTTGCAGCAGATGTTCTGGTAAACATAAAGACATTTTGTAGATGTGTTTCATTGGAGTTAAATGAACTGTCAAGTCAGTGAGGAGGCCACAGTGGCAAAGATTAAAGACAGATGTGGAGGGAAAGCAAGGGGAGAAAAGTACATAACCTATGGCTGGCAGGCCCAGAGGACACTTAAGCAGATCAGTGCTGCCCCATTCAAAAGGGAACTTATTAAACATGGTCCTCTTACTAAAAGGAAGCCAGATGAAAGTATCTTGGCACAGCTGATTGTCTCTTGAGAGGTTTTGGCTCTTTCGCCTTTTCTATAAGCATCAAAAATTCAAATTTTAAGGCCAAAGCACCAGGGAAATTAGCTAGTCAAGAGGAATGAACATTGAATTTGGAGCATCTGGAAACTTGGCTTTTAGCCTCAAATTTGTCACTAATTCTGACAAGTCCTTTAACCTCCCTCTGTTTCCTGCTTTGCCACGTATAAAGACAGAACTCTCTAGTTTCAGGGGTTTTATGTAATTTGAACAAAATGGATGTAAGGCTTGTTCCAAGACCTAATTGTTAATTAGATTCAAGCTAACTGCATGTCAGGTCCCCGGATTGATGCCTATAAAGTTGAATAAAAGCTTGATTTATTTCAAAATTAGGGAAACAGACAGGTAGTAGGCCCCCCATATTATGAAGGAGTTCCCAAGAAAAACGATTTAAAACAAAAATCTAAGATGATAATGAACTGTTAGTTGGGACATTTAGGTCAAAGAGACTTGTTTTGAACTTAAAGAATTTGGACTATAAACCTGACTACATTTGGGGCAAAAGACTACCAAATGAGGTTGTAGGTTTTATTTCTGTGGGGAATTTAAAAGTGAAATATCTGTTCTAGTTAACCGCAGCTAGAGTTTGCTGGATCTAGAAGGGGAACTCACAGGGCCTGTTGTATCCCAACAATCCACTAGGGAGCTGCCTTTGCTAACCCAGGACTGCACCCCATGAGAATGGATTTGAGACCTAGAAGGTACCGTTTGAAGAGGGATCACTAAATGCCAAGTATTCTTGGGTACTCTTGAGTTTTACTTCATTTACTTCATTCTAGGCTACAAAGAGCGTTTGATCAAGTGGTCTGCTCTCTCTCCTTCAGTTTAAAGTGGTATGGCTTGTTCGTAGCCAGGTGCAGTGATTTTCATGGAGCCTGTATTTTTGGGGTCTGGACAAAGCAACTGTCTAAGTGATAGCTATTATGAGTTACATGACCACCAAGGAAGAGGACTTAAGAGTGGAAGGCAAAGATCCTGGCATTAATCCCATAGTGGTGCAGTGCAGACTTTATAAAAATGGTACACAGGCAAACCTCTGTGTGCTGGCTCCCTGGTTTTTGTACCAGAAATGCTGAGTACTTACAGGTCTACTGCCTGAAGTAGGTTTCTCTGCTGCTTGTCTTAGTTTTCTCTGCCGATTGTCTTATAAGTATTGTAATATTTTAAAATTTAATATTATAAGCTTAGATTTGCTCTAAAATAAATGACTTCATGAATGTGAAATGTTTGGACACACTAAGGGAAAACGTCTTCATAACTTAAATGGAATTGGTGTATTTTTCATTCGTGGTATGGTTGTCCCAGTTGTTTCTTGCAGATGTTCTCAAATATTTCTTTGAAACCTCTCCACTCCTTTTCAGGAGTTAAGTGGTTTGATTTGCTGTGTGTAGAAAAGTAACCCAGTTAAACTCAATTTTGAAATGTTGAGTGGTAAGAAGAGTTTTTCTGAGAAGGTTCCACTGGTAAGAAGCTAAGTTTCCCCTTGCTGTATGCAAAGAGTTCCTTCAAAATGATGGGAAAACAATGTTAAGGTTATTGGGACTCAATTCCTGGATGACTTGCTTTTGGAATTTAAGAGCAGTGAAGGCAGGAAACAGAATAGAAGAAATAAGAAAAGTTCCTTGGCTTCAGTGAGTACGTAGCCGAATATCAGAAGTAATTTATTTCAACTTAAACTAGAAAGTTTGCCTTTTCAACATTATTTAATGCTTGGAACTATTCATTGAGTCCAAGTGATAGAGTTAAATATGTAAGACCAAATTTTAAGTAAGTTTCTTTAGCTGAAGAGGCCTTTTATTGACCTTGCCCAAACACAGTATCTCGTTATGTGTAACATGGGTGAAGAGAGCCAGATGGATTTGCTCTGCTGTGATTTGAGAGTTAGAGAATGAACTTGGCTCTGAAGGTGCAACCCAGTCACTGCAGCAGGGGCTGCTTGAGTACACTGAGGCATTTCGAACTTTGTGATTGTACATGTTAAAAATTTTACTCCCCACTCCTTCTTTTCTAGGAAAGGCATGGACCAATACGTAGAAAACTGTTCAACAAAAAACGTAAACCTTTCAATTCCTTAAAGATTACAGGGCACTGACATTCCCACCGTGTGGAAGGCTCCTCAATCCAAGGTACTGTCGATATCTTCCTTGCTGTTCTTGATTATCTCCTTCAGTACATTAAAGCCTCTTTCTGGCTCTCTGGTTTCATTTTTGCTTGATAATGCAGTGTAATGTCATGTAAGTATAATCCACCTTTACTGTTTTCTTTTTAATCATGCTCACTTAGATTTCCATATGTATTTCAGATACTTTCCAGATGTGGCAAAAAAATCTCGTTTATATTTTCATTAGAGTAGCATTAAATCCAGCAATTAACTTGGAAGACAGTCATTTTTAATCTTACATTTAAGTCTTCCTTTAAAGTTTTGTAATTTCTTTGTTTTTCTGATTGTTATTTTGTGTTTTCCCTCACTATTGTGACTTGCAAATTTTATTACTGTATTTTCCAAACCTCTTTTGGTACTTTTGGAAAACAAATTCTCTTTTTTCTCCAAATTTCACAGTTCTGTTTCTTGTAAGTTCAAATCCTAGCTTTAAAAAAAATTATAATGGTGAGATATATAGTCTAGGTTAGTATACGTTTTATTTTTTTATAGCCTCAACCCATGAGAAAATCTAACTGGAGACAACAACATGAAGACTTCATTACTGCGATTTGATCAGCAAAGCAGTGTACACTAGCCATTAAAGAAGGCCGGCCTCTCCCACCTCCACCCCCTCCGTCCATCAACCTAGGTGTGTGTCCAGTTTGGTTTGCTTTTGACATTTTACTCTTAACCAATTGAGGCTATGCTTGATTTTTGGCCTAGTCATTATGCCTTCCTCCTATAAACTCTAAAATTAACAATAGTAATTAAATTATATAAAAGTAAATTTATAAAATTTATATTATCCTGTTTTTTCAATTCTGTGTAAAGATTCTGTGTTTCCTTCTAACTCTACCTCAACATGAGTGTACCACTGTACCCAGTGTCATGGCATTACAGAACTCCAGGGGATGCCCCTCACATCCTGGTTTATGAGAACGGAGCTAGGCAGAGCAGTTTAAGCAGTTCTGTAATAGCTCCATAGCATCAAATACCCACAGCTCTTTTAATTTTTTGAGATAAAAATATAAAATACGAAATCACCATTTTAACCATTTCAAGTTGCACAGTTAGTGGCCCACAGCTTTTTTACCCTAAGCTTTTTATTTTGAACATTTTCAAATATACAGAAAAGAGGAAGGAATAGTACAATGATCACTCATATACCTTCCACTTAAATTTGACAATTTGGACATTATTGTCATATTTTTTTTATCTCTTTCTCTTTTTTCTGTGAGGGGGCATAAATATTTTAAAAGTAAGTTTTAAACATCATAACACTTTACCCATAACTATTTCACCATGCATTTCTTAAGTACATTTTTCTGCATAACCACAGTACTATTATCACACTAAATATGTGAAGTCATATTTTCCCAGTTATCTTAAGAATGTCTTTTGAAGCTCTCCCCTCACCACTCAGCCACAATCCAGGATTCAGTCAAGGTTCATGCATTGTCTTTTGTTGTCTCTTTAGTCTCTCTTAATCCTGCACAACACCCCTGCCAGGCCAGTTATCTTTTAGAATGTCTCATGTTCTGGATTTGTCTGCTTTTTAAGTTAAGAAACGTTTAACTTGTTTCTCCATCCCCTGTCTTTTTGTAAATTAGAAATTAGGTCCAGAGGCATGATTAGATTAATGTTAACACGAATCCCTTATCAGGTATAGGATTTTCAGATATTTTCTCGCATTCTGCGGACTGTTTTTTCACTCTCTTGATGGTACCTTTGATGCCCAAAAGTAATTTGATGAAGTCCAATTTACCTATCTTTTCGTTTGTTGCCTAGCTTTTGATGTCAAATACTCCAGTATCTTGAAGTCTTTTCCCTGTGTTTTTTATTCTAACAGTTTTTATAGTTTTAGCTCTTATATTTAGATCTTTGATCCAAGTAATTTTTGAATGTGGTATAAAGTAAAATCATTAGAAGTTGGATATCTAGTTTTACATGTGGTACCTTTCTCAGCACTATTTGTTGAAAAGACTGTACCTTCCCCATTGAAAGTTCTTGGCACACTTAGCAAAAGTCAATTGACTATATATATGAAGGTTTATTTCTAGGCTCTTTATTCTATTCCATTTTTCTATATATCTGTCCTTATACCAGTACCACACTGTTTTGATTACTATAACTTTGTAGTATGTTTTGAAATCAGGAAGTGGAGAGTATTTTGAGATTATTTTGGCTATTTAGAAACTTTGAGATTCCATATGAATTTTTAGGATGGGTTTATTTCTCTATTTCTGAAAATGCTGTTGAGTTTTGATAGGGATTGCATTAAATCTGTACATCACTTTGGGCGTAGTTGTCATCTTAACAGTATTGTCTTCCAGTCCGTGAACATGGAATGTCTTTCCATTCATTTACGTCCTCTTTAATTTCTTTCAGCAGTGCTTTGTAGTTTTCAGTGTATGAGTCTTTTGCCTCTTCGGTTAAATTTATTTCTAAGTACTTTATTCTTTTGATGTTATTGTAAATGGAATTGTTGACTTTCTTTTCAGATTGTTAGTGTATAGATGTACAGGCAATTTTTGTGAGTTGACTTTGTCCTGCAATTCTGCTGAATTTTGCTTATTAGCTCTAACAGTTGGTTTCTGGTGTGGAATCTTTAGGGTTTTCTACATATTTGATTATGTCATTTGTGAACAGAGATAATTTTACCTATTCCTCTCCTATTTGTATGCCTTTTATTTCTTTTTTGTGTCTAAACCTTCTGGCTAGAACTTGAAATACCATGTTAAATAGCATTGGTGAAAGCAGACATCCTTTTCTTGCTTTCCTTTGAGTATAATGTTAGCTGAGGGTTATAAATGACTTTTTAAAGTGTAAGTAATAACATGGGTATTATAACATTTGGAAGTGATATGTATGAAAATAATGGGATAAGGTTGAGTGAGGAAAATGAATGTATATTGTTGAAAGGTTCTTATGGTATACATGAATAGGTATAGCATTGTTTGCAGGTAGAGTATTATATCATAAAGATCCCTATTAATAAGCCCTAGAGTAAACATTCAAAAATATTGATGTATAGCTAGTAAGACAATACATAGACTGGAGATAAAATGGAAAAAAATTCAATCTAAAAAAAGACAGGAAAAGAGGAAAAAAGGAATCCTGGTAGGATAAAAACAAATAGCAAAATGATAGATTTAAACCAAACCATATGGACAACTGCATATAAATAACCTAAACACTTAGGATAAAATGCAGAGATTGTCAAACTGAATACTAAAGCAAGGTCCAATTATATGCTTTCCACAACAGACACACCTTAAATATAAAGACACAAATAAGCAAGCCAAGCAGGTGACAAAATGAGGTGAGCCAGGTGGGCCTAGAGAGGCTACACCCTCCCTAAGGGACAGCTGCTCCTACCTCAGCACATGGCTGCCTCAAAGGAACGCACACCCTAGGTTGCTGGGTCTGATTTCTCAAAGGATGGCAGGAATGCAGACTTCCTTATTTATAAATATCAGAAACTCAGTGTTTTAGAAACTTCAGGTTTCAGTCTCTGAGATTAGAAGTCAGGAGGTCATTTTACTTGGAGGGGTGGGGACAACTAGGAGGCAACTCAAGGGGGATTGGTGGGAACTCTCTGTGTCTTGATCTGGGCTGGTTTCATGGGTGTGCACAGTTTGTGAGCATTTCATGGAGCCGTACACTTATGATTTGTGCTTTTCCTCTGGATAAAAAGAGAAATAAATACCAGCAATGTCTGAACAATTGTAGATTGACATGTTAAAAGCACAGGGAAAAGATAGATATGCATTCAAATAATAATCATAAAACCGGAGTAGCTAATACTAATATCAGGAAAAGTAAACTTCAGGGCAAGTATTATTAACAGAGATAATAATTAAAAAGATATATTCATCAAGAAGACCCGTCAGTCTGAAATGCTTGTAACATTTTGACCCAATTGACATCTATAGCTATAGTGTGATACACAGCAACAGCAGAATATAATTGTTAATCAAGTACACATGTAACGTTCAACCAAGATAGGCCATGTGCAGGACCACAAAGTGGGTCTTAATAAATATAAAAGGACTGAAATCATACAGACTGTGTTATTTGACTACAATAGAATTAAATTAGAAATTAATGATGAAAATATATCTAGAAAACTCCTGAATATTTGGAAATAAATCATTTCTAAATACCTCATGGATCTAAGAAGAAAGAACAAGAAAAATTAGAAAATATTTTTTGAACTGAATGGTAATGAAAACATATCAAAATTTGTGGGATTCAGCTAAAGTAGTGCTTAGAGGGAAGTTTATAGCTTTAAATGCTTATATTAGAAAAGAAAAAAGGTTTAAATCAATTGCCTTAAACTTCCTCTTTAAAAAGGTAGAAAAAGGGCTTCCCTGGTGGCACAGTGGTTAAGACTCTGCCTGCCAATGCAGGGGACACGGGTTCAAGCCCTGGTCCGGGAAGATCCCACATGCGGTGGAGCAACTGGGCCTGTGTGCCACGGCTACTGAGCCTGCGCTCTAGAGCCCATGTGCCACAACTACTGAAGCCCGCGTGCCTAGAGCCCGTGCTCCACAACGAGAGAAGCCACCGCAACGAGAAGCCCGCACACCACGACACAGAGTAGCCCCCACTCGCGACAACTAGAGAAAGCCCACGCGCAGCAATGAAGACCCAATGCAGCCAAAAATAAATAAATAAATAAATTTATTTGTTTAAAAAAGTTAAGAACAAATTACACCTAAATTAAATAGAAGGAAGAAAATAGTAAATGTAATTCATCATATTAACAAAATATTTTTTAAAGCATATGATCATCTCAGTAGCTACAGGAAAAAAGCCTGTGAGAAAATGTAATACCCATACATGTTTAAAAAAGAAAACTCTTAGAAAGGTAGAAATAGAAGGTAACTTCCTTTTAATAAAGGACATCTCTGAAAAATCTACAGCTAAATATCACACTTAATGGTGAAAAGCTGAACAGTTTCCCACTGAATTTAAGAAAAAAGCAAGGATGTCTTTTCTGACCACGTCTAGTTAACACTATACTGGACATAGTACCCAGTGTAATATGAAAAAATTACATGTTTTATACACACACACATACATACACATAAATTTAAAGGTTGGAGAGGAAGAAGTAAAACTATCCTTATTCACAGACAACATGATCATGAATGAGTAAATGTAGAAAATCTTAGGAAACTACAAAAAAAGCTACTGAAATTAAAAGTTCCTTTGACAAGCTTTCAGGTTATAAGGTCAGTATACACAAGTGAATTGTATTTCTATATACTAGGCATAAGCAACTTAAAAAATGAAATGGGGCTTCCCTGGTGGCGCAGTGGTTGAGAGTCCGCCTGCCAATGCAGGGGACACGGGTTCGTGCCCCGGTCTGGGAAGATCCCACATGCTGCGGAGTGGCGGGGCCCGTGAGCCGTGGCCGCTGAGCCTGCGCTTCCAGAGCCTGTGCTCCGCAACAGGAGAGGCCACAACAGTGCGAGGCCCACGTACAGAAAAAGAAAAAAAAAAAAATGAAATGAAAAATGCCACAATCATGTAAAAAACATGAAATACTTAGGCATATATTTAACAAAATATGTGTAAGACTTTTAAAATGAAAACCACAACACATTGCTTAGAGAAATTAAAGAGGACTAAAATAGATGG